AATATTTCCTTCAGAGATCTAGTTATGGTAATTATAAATTAAAGCTGCTTGAGAACTGTTTCTTTACAAAATTAATTATAATATCTATGAACCAAAAAGCATTGGACTAAAATCAAGAATGTTTAATGTAAACAAAAACCATTGCTTTTTGTCTGGTGCTCAAACTTACAATGATTAATTACAGTTGCTGATACTTTCTGAGCAGTGTATAATTTTGGTCTTAGCATATGGGGAATTTTCCACACTCGTGCTGCTGATTGCTGCTCTTCTTATAAAACCCTGAATTACGAAGAACTCCTGGATCCGGATTTCTTCTGAACAGGGGAAAGCCTTAAATCGCCTACTATGGAAATCACAAATAGGGGAGACAACAGGTTTTTAAAATGGCAAATGAAATCATGGGTACTCCAATTTGCATGAGAATAGCAGTTCTGGGGGATATTTCTCAACCTCTTTTCTCCCAGTTGATGTCAGTGGTTCTGCACACTTTCCTCATGTAATGACTATGGGGGAAGCCCCCTTTCTACAGGGCCTCAGGACTCAGTCTTGGAAATACAATAATCAAGTCTAGAGTTACACAGATTTCAAGATTACAGTCAAACACAAGCTCAATGCAACAGCATTAGTATAACAAAGTATTCTAATTCAATGCTAGGCTTTATTAACAGAATTGTAGTTTCTGTCATAAGTAACAGTTGCATTGTATTCTGCACCACTTATACCACAACTGGAGCACTTCAAAGATGTAAGCAAATTAGAACAGGTTCTTAAGAGGGCAAAAAGCTAGTCACATGTATGGAAAACAAGCCCTGTGAGGAAAGCTTGAAACAAAATGGGTATGTTTAGCTTGGGACAAGAGAAGAGGAACATGACATCACTCTTGACATACCTGAAGGACCACTGCATGGAAGTTGGTAAAGACTTGTTTTTTGCTGCCTTACAGGGTAGTGCTAGATCTAATAGGTTTCAATTATAGGAGATTGGATTTTGGTTGAACATGAGGAGAAACATTTTGATTGGAAAGGCAGTTTTGTTAAGGAAACCAATCAGAAGGGTGAGTAATCTGTTGTTGAAGGGCTTTAAGCAAGGACTGGACAGCCATCTGTTTTGGATGCTCTAATTCTGGGAGTACCCCAGCTCTGGCTTTCAGGGATAAGACAAGATGGTTTAAAAGATCCTTCCAATTCCATAACTCCAGGATGGGTAGGGTCATTCTAATGTCATCCTGTGTACACCACCTGAAAAGCTATCTCTGTATATGGAGGGGTTGGGAGAACAGTGGTCTGGATGTGCCTGCTTGTAACCAGGCCTGTTCCCAGAGTCAGACTTGTTGTAGGAGTAATCTATCTTTCTGTCAGACTGTGTGTTCCTAATTACTCGAGATGCTATGTATTTCGCATCTTGCTTTTGAATTATGTTCTTGAACACATGCTTACATTTCAAGAAAACTGATTGTAATTGTGCCAGCTTCTCGTTTTAAAGTGTACTGAATTTACACATTATCCCCAGGGCTAAGGTTTGATTATGCATGTATACTTTATACAGAAAACAACAGCAAGTCATTTATCTATAAATTAGGATGACTCATTAGCAATGTCACTGTTCAGTACTTACTTGCTAATCTAAACCAAAATGATTAAGGTGGCTATGAAAAATGTCTATGCACACCAGTTATCCAAAGTAATCTTGTAGACATTGCCATCCTCTTCCACATTTAATTAAATCTACATTGTACAGAAGTAGCAGGATTTGACAGTAGATGAAATGTATTGTAAACATAGAATATACGCAGTGCTTTTTTTGTAAAAAAAAAAAAAAAAAGGTACCGGAACTCACGCCCCGCCGGCAGTAAGCACACACACCAATCCCAAGCCACGTCCCAAGCAGCTATCTCTCACTATCAGATAGCAGACACAATAGCAGCCTGCAGGCACTATATTAATGATGTTTGCTGCTGATCTGCTACTCCGTTCAAAATCACTTCTTCGTAAAATCCATTGAAAAAAAGGTGCCGGAACGCTGTTCCCGTGCGTTCTATGACAAAAAAAAAAAAAAAGCCCTGAAGATACATATTGTCTTCAAACACCACGAATTCTTCAGCTGCTGAAAACCAATGTATGGTCACACATTTTCCCTGCCCACTGTTAGCATTTTCATTTCACTTTTGCTATTTGGTGCATTCTACTGTGGGCCAAATCTTTCATGGAAGCCTTCTAAAGAGACATTTGATTTAAAGTTCTCATCAGACTTCTGCCAGATCTACTAAAATAGTTATATATTGTTACTAACCATTTAATTTCACTAGCTCAGGCACCTATGTTTATGCAATATATTTTCACTTCTGGTTGTAATGCTAATATAACTCTGAACATATCTTGACATGACTGGCTTAGTCACCTTATTTTATTTTAAAGGAAGAATGATAAAAAGAATCAATCCTGTGTCAGACCAAGGATCCATCTAGACTAGAATTGTTTGCAGTGACCAACTTATGAGGAACCCACAAATATTACACAAGTGCTCTGCTTTTTGTCCCTTAATGTTACAAATACATAAGAGGACTTGTTCCTTTCTGTTCCATGACCCAGTTTGCTCAGGAATCTTTTGCAGGGAACTTTGCCAAAGGTCCTTAGGAAGCCCAAATAGACTATGCCTATCAGATTACCTTTCCAGAACTTGGAGACTAGTGAGACAAAAATTACTTGTATATAAGCCATGTTGTTTCTCAACAAGCTTTGCTCATTGTTTAGGCATATACAAATAGAAAATTAACAAGGTTTACCAAGATGTGAAATGCCACCTATTAAGGCAAAAATAAAGAATGAGAATACTTAGTAATAAATAGTCCATAGTTTACCACATTCTGGTGATTCATTTTGTTTGCTGAATATCCTGTAACTTTAGAACATAACAGCTAGAAAATGCTACTCTTGAAGAAAAGTTATTCTTTGGACTTTTGATCTCATGTGATATTATGATGAGTGGAAGTGGGATGAAATTAGTCAGAAACATTTGTTCTAAATTCTTGAAATGAATAAACCATTTAACTTGCAGATTAAGGGGGAGTGGAATTACTGAAGTTAAAGCTAAATTCATGAACAAAAGGTCCACTATTAAATAGGTTACAGTAGTATCAGTTACAGTATCAGTTGCAGTTACAGCTGACCTATATGTACAATCTTTTTGACTCAATTCCAGTTCAGCAGCAAGGATCATTATTCCTCAGTTAAAGGTGGCTTTTTAGGTTTATATAGGGTTTTATGCAATGTCTGCCTAACATGTCGTCACTTCATGGTAATTAATTCTAAGTAGGATTAACAGTAGATATAATACATAGCAATATGCTTTTTCCGATCCTGCAAGGCTGAGCAATAACTAATTCAGTCCATCTTCAAATCTGTTTCTGGACTAGATCTAGACTGCAGATCCCATGGACAAAATTTGGAACTTTTCTATTAACTTCCAGGTCCTACTTTTTGTACCATTTAGTCTAATAAAGGGTTCTGGAGAAGGCAAAGGTTTGCTGATACTTTTGTGGCATATTGGTTGGTCTCAATCACCATAGTACTCTACCATGAATTTTAGATTATATTTTCTGTCACTGCATCTAAAACAGCTTTCATATATAACTTTTACATATCCAAAGTGAAGGAAAAGCTAATCTGGCTTTATAAGAATCATAAAGAATACAATTGCTGCCTTGTGATATTAATGGAAGTTTTTTGTTGGCAGTATTCCAATGCAGGCTTAAAGCAAGCCTAACTCTGTGCTGTACCTGATACTTCAAGTAAACATTTGTTTAATCTTTCTCCTGACCCTCTGTGACAGTGTAATTTGGAAGATGTTTAGAATACTGAAATATATTTCCAACACAGCTCCTGCACAAACTTCCTGCATGCACAGGCTTTCCTATTCATTTCAAAGAAGCATTCCATGCACAGACAAGAATGCACCACTGTTCTGTAAGTGGGCGGATGGGTGGATAGAAGGATGGTTTGTGTGCATGTGTATTATTTTCTCCCCAGTCTTGCAAGATTATTGTAAGGCTTAGTGAGTTACAAGAATGTAGGTCCCTTGTACCCTAGGGCAATATGGCCTTTCAATGGTATCTTCCAAATGTCTTAAGACCTTTTAGTTCAAACTGGTAGTTGTGGGACATACTGGTAGGGCTAGAACCAAGGCAGAGGTGTGTGTGTGTGTGTGTGTTAAGATTCCAGTCTTTCCCTAGCCCTTCCTGGTCAACAACTTTAAAAGCATGTCTCATCCCCCAATTTGTATCTTCTCTAGATTTCAGTAACAGTTGTACTGATGAGATGGTTGGGTTGGGGTACATAGGCAGCTACAGTTATTGCACTGACATGTCCTTCCTTACTCAGAAGTAGTTAATAGGGAGGGGAGGAGAAAACACAGTTATTTTGATGGGTGAAATTGTCACCAAATAATTCAGCTAGGCAGAAGAGGAGCTACTGCCACGAACACTAACAGGGTAAGTTCAGCTAGTTCTTCAGCAGTGAGACTTTGGAAGAGCAGATTCAGCTTATTCACTGTACTCTTTGCCAGGTGCCCATCACCCTCTACCCTGGAAACTTTACTCTCATCCCAGAATAGAAGCCAGTTCTATTTACTGAGTAATGAAAGAAAAGCAGTTTTGTTATTGCACAAAGGCAGTTCTTCCCAGTTTGCCTTACTTCAGTCATTCAAGATCCAGTGCCTAAAGCCAATGTTTTGTCTCTACCACCACCTAGTATACATTGTTCTGTAGGCAATGCATTTATTATAAAATATAAAAATAGAAATCAGTAATTTGCCTGTCTTTTCCATCCCTAGTCCTATCTCCCGTGGAAAGGGAAATTATTTTCACTGATTCTTTCTTCCCAATACAAAGGTGATCTGGCAAGTAGATAATTATTAAAACTGTTTGGACAGGGGTGGGAAGAACAAACATCAAAGTAACTAGAGTTCTGTATAATGTGCACTAAAACAAACTTTTGCAATATGTATGAATTACAAACACATGCATACATTTATTTTACATTTTGCAAATGAGAACAGCAGACCTTCCCTTGATTATTGAAACCCTGCTTACTATCACACTTTTTGGTGGACTTAATTTCTTTAAACATTACTTATGCATCTTTGAGACTTTCTACCCTTAACTGCTAGGAACCAGCTTTAAAAATTTGAAGTTCTTGAGATGATACATCTGTGTCTGATATGAAATGCTGTAAGTCGGCAATGCAGTTGTAGAATCTTGGAATACACACTACTGTTCAGTCCTCAGCTAAGATCCAAAGTGTTAGAATCATACAACATGGCTTTTCCAGCCTCCTTTCACAGTAGAGGCTCTTCTATCTCTGGAAAGCTGCCCTGGAAGCCAGGAATCTCCATATCAGGACTTCATACCACACAAAAGACCTGCAGTTAGAACCAAACATTGAAAACCTATCACTCTCTTCCCCAAGTAGATATGCTTTTCTGTAACACACATAACAATTTGGATTTTAGCCCAACACAAACACACACACAATTAAAATTACAAGAAAAATGCTACAGGCAAAATTAAATAGAGATCTCACTGGCTTGAAGCCAGCTAAAAAGAATTGATGCATGTAGAAGCAGAGAAGGTGTGGCAGTTATTTCCCCAGATTTTTGCATGCTTGTGAGTTTGAATAATATGACCACAAAATTTTGTTAATTTGTTAAACCTTGATTAACATTCATTAATGCCATCTAGAAAAAATAGCTTTATCCTTAGGAAGGACAAATACCTTGTTTGTGCTGGTTTGAAAGTACTATTACATCAATTACTATTTCAAATATAGAAGAGATTTTGGGTATGATGGACAGCTTAACTAATATAGCTGTTTTCATTTTACATAGAATTCTAGCGGGGACTCCAGATATGCCACCCTTAAACAGCTAAAAACAATTTCTGTTAAAATAGTAGGCACGTTAAAAAGGCAAATATGACATAAAGCTAACATAAATGTCCCAACATATGCCACTGAATGCATGGTAGAGGGCAGGTGCTTTACCAATGGGTTTGCCCTTTCTCCAAAATAAACCATTGTATTATTCAGCATACTAAAAAGCATGCAAGTAAACATACCAAAGATCTCTGGATACTCTGAGCTTTTGCTGCTTTTCAGAATGTCATCTTGCATTCACATCATTAAAGTAAAATAATGTTTTGTCATCTGAGGCCTCCTGCTTCCTAGAATAGTTACGACTTACAGCCACATGCTTAGTTCAAAGTCAAACAATTTTCAGTAGCGCTTTCTCTCTAGTAAGTATGTTTAGGATCACTTGCATTTCTTTCAAAAAGTCAGCAGCAGTTGTGTCACTTGTCAGTCATTTCTCAGTTTTCTGAATTATGCATGGCTAGTCCTAAAATATCCAGTCAATTCTTGCTCAAGGTATGCTGCACAACACAAATCTGAGCAGTTCTCTTGACACCACTTAAAGAAGCAAACAATAATAATACAGTAACAAATGCAATTCTTTCATTTTACTACTTTTTAATTTTGAGATATTTAAAATATCAGTAGCAATTAATAAAGCATTAATCACAAAATTAACAAATACATTTCAGATTAAATTAAGTCCCCTTATTCTAGTACTCTTGACATTTTTGTAGGAGTTTGTAATTTTTTAACTGTCTGATTTATTGTTGGAAGCCAATTAGACAGTTCTTTGAAATGAAAGCATGGCACATATGCTTTGAAAATGTAAACTAATGTTGACCTCTATCAATGAGGAAGTCATGGGGCTTCCTTGAAAATGAAATTAAGAGTTTAATTCATGTCTGCCCTCCAGTGGCTCAAAACTAAAATGTTGCTCTTGTACTATTTGAAGGCACAAGTGGAAAAAGAAAACTATAACACTAATGAGACTTTTATAGTATTAGGTTCTTAGGCATCTTTTGTTTCAATTAATGCAGTAATAGAATACTTGTTGAATGTCTCCATTCCTCTGCATCAGCTTATCTGCATGTATTGTGTAACCTCTTCATCTGAAAATCATAGATGTAAGCTCAAGGGATTACATTAGAACTTGTTCTTTAATCCTATAAAAGGTGCATCTTTAAGCCTTGACATTAAATGAAAAATAATGATTTTCAAGAATTATACTATGATAGCCCTATATTTTCCAGAACACATCTTTAATTAAATAATAGTACATTCAAATATTTTAAGGGTTACTGCAATGGCTAGTTACCACTCCACAAAAATAATCCAATAGTAATTTAATAGTACTGTATGCCTCCTGACTCAGATAAATATACCTTATATTGATGTGTTTTCAGTATCCATCTGTAATTTCAATTACAAACCAGGCAGTGGTTTCTTGTCTTTATTTGAATCAGCCATTGAAACAGTTGTCAAGGTGATACTAATTTCTAGACACGTTCATCTTATTAAACTACAGGAATAATGACTCTGGAATTAAAGCATTACTCCTTAAGGAAGCACAATCCAACTGAAACAACTGAAGTAAATACCCATAAAGAGGCTAAACATGTGTTGTTTAGTTGAAATTAAATGCAGTTTTAAAATCTTATTTTAAATCTTCCATAATGAAAAGTTTCAACTCAACATGCTATCAACACGTCCATATTTCCATACTAGCCTCCTTCAAACCCCAAATTTATTAAGTTTTTTTTTCCCAAAGAGCCATCATTACAGAACATTTTCTTTGTCTCACAAAGGGGACCTGAAAAGAAAGACAGATACATCAGATAAGGTCTTTACACAATCTGGGAGATCTCTGTCCCACTATCAGCCGCTGCAGGGATTTTTAAAATGTGTAATTAGGTAGAAAATATACAGCTCTAAATAAACAAATACCAGCATTATAGTTCTAAATGAGTGTTTGTGCATTTGAGCTGGTGTAGTATGGTGGCTAGGCTAGAGTGCTGGACTGGGACCCTAAAGATCTGGTTTTAGTCCCCACTCTGCTTTGAAGCTCAATGGTGACTTTGGGCCAGTCACAGATTCTCAGCCCAATCTACCTCACATGGTTGTAGTAGTAGTAGTACTGAGGATAAATGGTGCCTTGGGTTCCTCACAAGAGAAAAAAAAGTGGGGCATGAACACAATATAACAGCAGCAGCAGCTGCTGCTTCTTTTGGTCAGTGTCCATGGATGGTAGCTACTGCCAGCAGGTATCTCCTAGGACACTGTCTCAGGCAAGACTTTTATTTCAGACTTTTCATAACTGTGCACCTGTAAAGACTGAAACTTTTACAAAACAAAAACATATACCTGTTGGCACAATTATTCAAATATAACAAAACCACAAAAAATCAAAATTTTGATAAGTAATACTTTTTCAAGGATTTTTCTGATAGATGATAAAGGTTTTTAAAAATTCCCAGCAGCTTCTAAAAACATTAATTTAAAAAGTGAGGGTAGGGCCTCAGTGAGTGCAAAGAAAGCTGTCTAGGGCTTCATGCTTTCTCCTGTAGTTGATACTGAATAAGATCAATATTTATTATTTATTTATTTGGGATATTTCTAGGCTGTCCATCACTCTGCGTTTCTGGACGGCTCTCAATACTGAGAGCCAATGTGGTGTGATGGTTAAGAGTGTGGGACAGGGATTCAGGCAATCTGGGTTCTTGTCCTCACTCAGCCATGCACCCAACTGGGTGACTTTGGGCCACTCTGAGCCCAACCTACCTCACAGGGTTGTGGTTCTGGGGATAAGATAGAGAACAGATGAATGATGTAAGCTGCCTTGAGTTTTTTCTTTTTGAAAGAACTCAAAAGAAGGATATAAATAAATATGGACTAACAGCCCCTCTCAATAAGACAGGTATCTACGTTTAGTAAATACATTCAATTTGCAAAATTTCTTGCAATTATGCCAAATCTTCAGTTATCCCTTTCTGTGATTTAATAAACAATATATTAATCCCACAACATCACACATTTTAAGGCATTAGTACATGAAAATGAAATGAAAAATACATAGTTTTATATCAATCATTCTTGATATAATTTCTTTCAGCAATATTATCTGAACTTTTAGTTTTCTAAAATTTATTTGGATAATTGACAAACTGAATGTGATTTACAGAAATTCTCCTAATTACACTTTGTTATTCAAGTAGGAAAAAGTTGTATGCACAGTCTTTAAAGGTATAGGACAAACTAGCCATGGAGCATTATTAGTTTCAATTACAAAATAATGAAATTACTTTTTTCATTGTTGGTAAAGTATTGATCTGCTCAGCTGTTCTCTTAAAAAGCCAACTGTAGGTGTTCATGGGGCCACACTCAAGATTCTGAAATGATCAATTTTTCCTTCTTTTTATCCAATTCTCATAAGTCAGTTCATTTTGTGTTTCAAACACTGTGGTCTTTTCCAACTTCATTCTACCTTTCAGACTCTACAGGCTAATTTAAAACAAACAAACAAGAAAGAAAGCATAGCTAGAAGTGCTCCCTTTTTTAAGTGGACGTGTAAGAAAATATTCCCTTAATTCATACAGCCTGTAAAAAGAGAATCCAACAACAAAATCAATTCGAATGCGATTTTTCCAGGATTATACAAGATTTTGTAATATTAAATGAACTACCTTGAGCCTAGCTGCAAAAATTTATGTCTGTTAGCAGAATACTATCAAAAACGGCACTGCAAGCAGATAGATAAATGCATATCTGGGGTGTTAATCATTGTACATTATGACCAAAATTCAAGGTAGGCATGCTGAAAATTTCACTGAGTGTCTAATCTAATGGTACCTTGGCTCACAAACGTAATCCGTTCCAGGACTCTGGTTGTGACCCAAATTGGTCATGAGCCAAATCAAATTTCCCTATAAGATTCAATGTAAATAAGGTTAATCCGTTCTGTAACTATTTTTTTTAAATCACAACAATCTGAGGCAAAGTGACAAAGAACAACAAAGAACAACAAAGATTGCGGCTATCTCCCCCCCCCCCCGCAGCACAACCACAATCACGCCTGTCATCCCTGCACGAATGCAATTGCAGCCATAGATAGGTGCAATCGCGGGCGCGCTGGAGGGGAGACGGGCATGATTGCAATCGTCACTCGATGTGGAGTTCCCAACCTGAGGCAAAATTTTTCAGAAATTTCTGTTCACGACCCAATTTGGTCATGAATTGAGGTGTTCGTGAGCCGAGGTACAACTGTATGTGTACCCTGCAATTGTAATGGTATACTTACAGCTGATTTTAAACAAAGTTATTTGGAAGGAATTCTTGATTTCAATGGATTTTACTCAATGTGTGTGCAGACAACAATATATGTATAATGTCTGAAGGAGAATGTTCAAAACTACTTATTTTAATCAGTGCACAAACTCCCTCCAGGAGTTTCAAAAGATTGTTTGAATATTTGTTGAAGGAAGTTGTGAAGAACTGAGAAGACAACTGCAATACATGCAATTCTAATTCATTTCTAGATCAAACTGTTGCAATTTTTAGATAGTCAGCAGCCAATATTATTAATCTGCCATCCTATGCCACATTCTGTGGAGTAGGCCCACCAAAAATAGTGGAACTCAGTTCCCAGTAAAATGGCAGTTTTTGCAGACAATTGGTATAAAATTATGCTATACTCCTCTTGAACTACTGAGGTCCTTGGAGTCAAATATTTTTCATTTCTAAAAGAACTACTGGAAGGGTTTTTAGGGTCTCTGCAACATGAATTTTACTCTAAATCAAAGACTATAATCCAGGTAGAGTTTCTAAGGATGAGGGTCTATAAATCTAATAATGAAAATGCAAATAAGTGCAGAAACAAATGTAAATTTAAACCTAATCTAGTTGCTACTCCAGCCTCAGAAAATCCTTTAAGCCATCAAATCTGTGCATACCGCTCTACAGAGGTATCCACAATCAGCTCATGCTTTTCATCTTTGGCCAGATACTTTATTCACAATTATAAAGACTGCAAGTATGTAGTAAGTGATGTACTTCAAAGTAGACAAGTACTCATGCAATATACCTTTTCCCTCAGCCAGACATGATGATATGCAAGTCTGGTCTTCTATTAAAGAATCTACAGAAAGAAAACAGAAGCTCAAGATTAACATTTTAAAAGAAATTATTTTTTCTATCTGATACATGCAAGGCACACCTCATTTTTTGAAATTTCATTAGTTAAATTGTCTTTTCTTATTGTAGTTAAAAAGGTCTTGTTTTATGTCTTTCTTAAAAGGATCAATAAGCATGTTAATATTTTAATAAAATAGTAGCAGTACCTAACAATTATCTGTCTTCAGTAAGCTGTAACTTATTTCCTTTACCTAATTTGATACACAATCACTTTCTCTCTAACTCTAGGGCAGAACTTGTAGAGCCTTTTTTCAAATAGCGCAAAAATAGGAGCCAACAAGAACAACTAAACTTACCTTGTTTTGTGTACTTGCCAATATCCTAACTTGTTATTGTTAAATAGTAAATAACCTGACATTTCTACAAGTCAAGTAACACCATCCTTTCCCTTTATCTTCTTTCTCCTCTCCACATTAATCTGCTGTAAATATTGGCAACATTTATGCTGGAATGTGGAGAACTATAAGAAGCTGTGCACACCATGACTACTGTGCTGTAAATAATAGCTTTTCAGAGCAGCTAAATGTTATCCTTCCAGCATAGCAATCTTTGGATACCTTGCTTGTTCTTAGGGGATCATGTATTGCTCTTATGCTGTAGCTGCCATGTGGGAAGCTACTTGAAACACTGCCAAATTAATCAAGCTCTGGAATGCAACTATGCTAAATGCATGAGAAGAAAAGGAAGTACTACAAGGTTACAGTTGAGGGGGTTTTTTAGCTCTATGGATTACTTCCTTTCCTGAACATATTAGTTCAAGCATAATTAGGGATGTCTGAGGAATCAATTTGAGGATGGGGATCCATTGGATCCCCTGAGCTCAGCTGCCTGGACTCTGGTATACTTTGGAGTGGCCTGGACTGCAAATTTCTGATGAGTGCATCCAGCATTCATGGGGTGCCCACCAGGAATCATGCCCTGATGTCAAAGAAGGCTGGTTGAGAGGGGCTTGCTGGAAAGGAGCACCTTCAGAAGTGCCCTCTCCCACATCAGGGTGCAGCTGCCATTTGGGCAGCTACACCTGATACAAAGGTGGTCCTGAGAGGCTAGCAGCATCCCTCTCTTGCTCTGATGCAGTGTCTTCTGACACTGAAGGTTGCTGCTTGTACAACCGGGTGTCTGAGAGCTTTTGTGGACTTCCTCTCAGCAAAGTCTGCTTTGTAACACTGGGACAAGCACAAGAGGAAGCCCAGGAATGCTTGGAGGGATGAATTCTGATGTTTAGGGCTGAATCAGCCTCCTGAAGTTTAAGTCCAACTGAAATTCAGTGGGGTGGGTGGTAATTCATTAAGTGGTTTCCCAAGTTAATTCTGAACAGTGAGGCACACAGGCCTCCCACCACTTTACATAATGGAGCAGGTTGTGAAGAAGCCTCAACATTAGTGAACCAATTTCTTTCACCATGTTGGGCACTACTGTCTCCTATTTATAAAAGGAATGCTGAAATGCCAGACTGTCAGTAATCGGAATGACACCCTACATACGTTAATGTGTTTGTACACTTTCCTCTTGCTTGGAAAAGATTGCCAGTTTCAAATCTCTTGTATTGGGCCATTTGGGGAAAAACAGCAGATATGGGTACATTTGCATGACAAGGCAAGCCCCATGGGAACTTTACCCAGAGTATTATGAGGGGGTAAATTCCTTGAGGTTGCGTCCACCCCGCACCCCAGTCTTCCCTTTACAGAGCACTCAGGAGGTGTGGAGATGACAGCTGCCTGATGTCAGGAGGGAAGCCTGCCTCTTGGCCCTAGTACTGCTCAGCTGATCAGTATTGCTACTGATAAGTGGAGAGGGAATGGGTGCTTCTCTGTGTTATCACAATACATGGAAATGACAAGAAGTACCCCACCACCACAGATGAGGGCAACATGTTTGGCTGAATTGCTTCCAAGGGAGACTCTGATAAATGCACTCCCCTTCCACCATCCACAGTTGCAACTGCTGTGTGATCATGACTGCAGGCAGTGTCGGGAAGGAGACACAGTTGGCTGCATTTCCCTGGAAGACCCAGTGGAATGCACTACTCCACCCCTGCCCACAGCTACAGCTGCCCAGGCTGGCTCCTGCACCTCCTACCTAGTTACCTTCTCTTCCTGGTGCTGTTGTCAAACAGTAGAGGGGAAGCAAGGAGAGTGCTAAGGAACATGGCCTGTTTCTGCCTCCCACTGCTACAGGATTGAGAGAAGTGAGGCTGAGTAGCTGGTTCCTGCCATTGAGCCTCACTTTCTCAAGAGGAAACAAACTGAGCAGATCCCTTCCTCTGCCACATGCCACCTCCCCAATTCCCAAACAGGTTGAGTGGACAGCACACAGCAGAGCCAAGAGCCTCCCCCTCTGCTCCTGAAGATGCATCAGGTGGCAGCTACCAATGGCAGCCATGCAAAGTGCTAGCGCCCTTTGGCCAGTCCTGCAACTCTTTTTTGCCAAGGAGTTCTACACCCTTTCAGCTTCACCATGACTTAACGTGTCATTCAGGTTTGGATGCATGAACCACCCACTGGGCACCATGGAAAGTTCAGATGACAAGTTCCTCCCAGTAGCTTAGCATGTCATGCAAATCCAGTCAATTAAATATGTAGTTGCAATGCATCTCTGTACATCAGAGGTGCATAACCTCATGCCAAGGGTCAAATCCTGCCCTTTGGGATTCTCCAGAAGGCTATAACTCTTTCCCCCAACCATGGATTGTTTCCCAACTTTTGTGAAGTTCTTCACCTTCCAAAATATTGAAACACCCCTCCGAAAGTAATTACTGGCAGTAAAAGCTTTAAGCCACAATCTGATGGGATTTTAGCCCCATCCCCTTTCCCCCGGCCCTGCCACCACTGCAATGTGGCCCCTGAAAGCTTCTCAGCTTCTTGAGGGATTTCAGCCCTCAAACTGAAATAATTTCTGTACCCCTCCTGTCTATTATCTTCCCACTAGTAAGTCATGCATTTGTACCCTGCTTCATAATATATATTAAAAAGTAGAATTTTTAAAGGCAGAATTCCACTGGTGTTATAATGCTCATTATAATTGATAGCTGAGAACCAGCTTGCAGTTTGATTGACATTCATGTTGATGAACTATCATTAAAATATAACTGGCCTAATTTTGGCATTGAAAATTAATTCAGAAAATAAGATGACTTGGAAGAAACCTGGGCAAGTCATTCTTCCTGTTGTAGCTTTGAAAAACTCCAGATGGTTTTTCAAAACTGGGAGGAACAGACAACAGAATGGTAAACAAGATTCAGTGTAATTAAATGCAAAATGCATATGGGGCAAACAAGCATATTGCACATATACACTAATGGGCCTGGAACCAGCACTAATTCTTGAGGAAAAAGATCTTGAGGGTTTGTAATCTTCTTATGCAAGAAGAAAATTAAGTGGGAAGATTGAGAGTATGGACTATCTTAAGTGTGTCATTCAAGACTAACAATATGGCTTTTATCATTAATTCATGGATTAATTTTATAATCAATTAAAATACCTTTTTATTAAATAGTGACCCTGACTGACTGAGAAATACACCTTTAAAGCTTACAGATGGTACTGCAATGGTAATCTAGTACTCCTGAGAACACTGGCTAATCTTACATTAGTTGCACACCTGCACATGCAGCTTGTTTGCTCCTGCTGGTTTCTCCCACCAGTGGCAGCAGCCAAACTAATCAGGAATTGGAAACTTGGTGTTGTTCAGTTGGAAACTTGGCACTGGGTTTACTGTGCTCCTTACAAGTCAGAATTGCAAATCAGGGGTTTTTGGTCTTGATTTACAGCTCCTGACTTGTTTGGGAGCCAGAAGCCATGCTTCAAATTTTAGTTTAGTCAGTCTTGAGATTAAGAAGCAGAAGAAACCAAGCAGGACAGAATGGGTTCTGTACATAACTAGATGGCTTGTGAAGCAGGATTTCCCAGAAGTTCAGGCTTTCATCTCACATGAAACTGGCCACTATGTCAGAAAAGAATACTGGATGAATTTGCTCAGGACAACAACCCACCTGGTTAATAAGGTACACAGGTTGGGCTGTTTGCAGATGATCAGGCTTACTGTGGATATTTCTCCCCTCCCTTCCCCAGTATTCCAGGGAAATATTCTACATGGCGGAATTCATTTTATCTCTCCCTCCCTACTCAGATTGCAACCCCATTATCATTTATCAGTTTTAAAAAGTCCAGTTACATGCTGCCGCCACTGTCAGCCATTCCAGCAATACCCAAGCAACACTTTGGAGAAACAATCACTGGGTTTTTTTCTCCTTTGAGTGGCAGAAATGTATTCATTTCAGACTATTTTTGAAAGTTCTCCACAAGTGTGCACTTACATGGAGTCTTGCCTGGCCTATGTCCTGGTAAATGTCTCCTGAATATTTCAGCATTTTATGGATATGAAAATAGATTTCATGGCTATATATTTTTATGTCCAAGAAAAAAATGCTCAAAATTACTGGCATGCATTCTCACTGCCTCTTGGACCCTTGTTTTTACAACCAAAGGGGGTGAGATGTTGATTTCTCCTTTTTGAAAAACCTAGAAGCTCAGGGAAGTACGTCAAGACAGAAGGCAGTGAGATCTGTCAGTTCAAGATCTGCCACCTTATTTCAGGACAACCACCCCGCCCCCGCTACTTTGCTTTTCAAATGACAGCTGCCAACCTGGTCAATGTCCATGGATACTGCCTACTGTACTGTGCTAGTAGATGTTTAGCAGGCAACTGGCCAGCATTTTAGGCAGCTGAAGGTATGTATGCAGATGCAAAGGGACTAAATCAGGGGTCTCAAACTCGCGGCCCGCGGGCCAATTGTGGCCCATGGGACAGTATTTTGTGGCCCCCACTTGATATCAAAGTTTAGTGATAGTGCGGCCCGCGTATTTTTCTCACACGCACCTGCGTGAGTCGTTACCCTGGGTGCAATGCTTCCTCTAAGCTGTGTGCCGGGAAGGGCGGGGTACGGGGGAGGGGCCCTGCGGCCTTCAAAGCGCTGGTGGTGCCCGGGCCGGCCTCTGGGAGCGACGCGGGATGAGTGGCCCACCACCACCACGGTGGTGGAATACATGATGTGGCCCAGCCTCACCCAGACTCTACTTCCAGTGGCCCCCAGGTAAGTTGAGTTTGAGACCCCTGGACTAAATGAATAAATGTCTGAATTGTGTACATTTCTGTGCTCACATTTTTTTAAAAGGGAGAACAAGCTTGATATGATCACTTCAAAGTGCTGCTCAGGCTTTTTGCTTTCAAACAAATCACCCTGTAGGAAGCAGTCTGAGTTCAGATAAGGGAGTGCCTACTGTGCCTAGTTACCCACAAGAGGTTGCTGTATGCAACCCAATCAGCATCTGCTCTGCTACCTTTACTGAACAACTAAGCAATTATTCTTTAACTGTTTAACTGATATATAAATGTATACAGTTTTAGTCAGGCTAAACTCCTAGGATTCATCTATCACCATCTGTCTGGCCAAGTGATTACAAGATATTTAAAATAAGATATTTATTAAAGATATTTTGTTGTTGTTAGTCGCGAAGTCATGTCTGACCCCATGGACAACATTCCTCCAGGCCTTCCTGTCCTCCACCATCTCCTGGAGTCCACTTAAGCTCACACCAACTGCTTCAGTGACTTCATCTAGCCACCTCATTCTCTGCCGTCCCCTTCTCCTTTTGCAATCTATTGCTCCCAGCATTAGGCTCTTCTCCATGGAGTCCTTCCTTCTCTTTAGGTGGCCAAAGTAATTGAGTTTCATCTTCAGTATCTGGCCTTCTAAAGAGCAGTCAAGGTTGATGTCCTCTAGGACTGACCAGTTTGATTGCCTTGTGGTCCAAGGGACTCGCAAGAGTCTCCTCCAGCACCACAATTCAAAGGCCTCAATCCTTTGGCACTCAGTCTTCCTAATGTTCCAGCTTTCACAGCCATACATTGCAACTGGGAAAACTATAGCCTTGACTATACGCACTTTTCTTGGCAGGGTGAGGTCTCTGCTTTTTTAGTATGCTGTCTAGGTTTGCCATAGCTTTCCTCCCCAGGAGCAAGCATCGTTTAATTTCTTGGCTGAAGTCCCGTCTGTGGTGATCTTGGAGCCCAGGAAAATAAAATCTGTCACTACCTCCATTCCTCCCCATCTATTCGCCAGGAAGTGAGAGGATCAGATGCCATGATCTTAGTTTTCTTAATGTTGAGTTTCAAGCCAACTTTTGTATTCTCCTCCTTTACACGCATCAAGAGGCTCTTTAGTTCCTTTACACTTAATCACAGCAGCGAGGATTGCATTTGCTCAATGTTGGAAAAGTGAGGAGCTACCCACCGATGAATTGATTTTAAGAAAGATCTTGGACTGCACAGAAATGGATAGATTGACTTTATCATTGAAGGAGAAAGAAGACACTGACTTCTATCAAACTTGGGATTTTTCTAATAATTGGCTGGAGAAACGGGACCTGGCGTAAATTTAGAAATGCTTTCAAGTTATTATAAACTGATTTAAATATGATTATAGAATGTTAAAAAATATGTAGTAGGGGGCTGACCCACTAAATCCGATGTACGTAATGATTGATGTTTTTAGTATTAGTTTAAAAATTTTAATAAAATTTAAAAAAAGAGGCTCTTTAGTTCCTCTTCACTTTCTGCCATGAGAGTGGTATCATCTTGATATTTCTCCCAGCAGTCTTAATTCCAACTGGTGATTCATCCAGCCCTGCCTTTCTCATGATGTGCTCTGCATATAAGTTACATAGGCAGGGCTACAGTATACAGCCTTGCCGAACTCCTTTCTCTATTTTGAACCAATCAGTGGTTCCGTGCCCAGTTCTCACTGTTGCTTCTTGACCCACATATAGGTTTCTCAAGAGACAAATAAGATGGTCTGGTACTCCCTTCTCTGTAAGAACTTGCCACAATTTGTTGTGATCCACACAATCAAAGACTTTAGCATAGTCAATGAAGCAGATGTTTTTCTGGAACTCCCTAGCTTTCTCCATGATCCAGCATATGTTGGCAATTTGATCTTTAGTTCCTCTGCCTCTTCAAAATCCTGCCTGCACTTCTGGTAGTTCTTGGTCCACATACTGCCGGAGCCTAGCTTGTAGGATTTTGAGCATCACTTTGCTAGCATGTGAAATGAGTGCAATGGTGCGGTAGTTTGAACATTCTTTGGCATTGCCCTTCTTTGGGATCGGAATGTAAACTGACCTTTTCCAATCCTGTGGCCACTGTTGAGTTTTCCAGAAGATATTTACACAGTTCAAAAGTGGACATACCTTTTATTTCCACTGGGGCCTTCTAACTGTGTTGACAGACAGTGGATTCAGCACAATACAAGGAAGTACCTCGACCTACCTGAATAATTTATGGAAATTAACTAACATACTAAGTAGTGATGGTCACTAGTCTTTTAAAAAGAATTAGCCAATTCAAGGTGGAAGACTACGAGGTAGAGGTTAAACAGAACCTCTATATTCATAGATAACTTTGCATGCTCCACATTGTGGACAAAGAACAATGAAATACTGTAACTTTCTTGTATCCTTTTTTTAGATCCAGCTCGCCCCTTTGGGCTGCATGAGAGAATCACGTCACTACGTTTCGGTTTTAAAAAGCCCTGTAGAATCACAACCTGGCGCGTTTCCCTATAACCCGCCTCTCCACTCCTCAATTTCTATGAGATGAAATAAGTGTCTGCTCACCTGTTAAAACTTTTGTTAGGCGGGTGGTACTCCCAAATACGGCAAACTTAATATCTAGGACAGCCTTCAAATCATTTTCGCGCGTACTGAAACTCGGTTTGAACTCGTCCCGTTTGCCAGTTAACGTACGTGCAACGGGCGGAAGCGGATCCGAGAACGGCGAGTATTTGCTCCCACTTACTCCGGGAGGACACAGATGCTATTAGTTTTGGGGGAGGGGGAAACAACTAATCTCCCCATCTGCTAGTCAGCGGAGCCGATTCCACCACAGCCCTTCTTTCGTCGCCCTCGGCGGCGAAAACTACTTCCAACTGGCCTCAAGCGCACCCGCAGATTGGGCAGAGCGGTCCGCCCAGGGTAGGCCCTTCCGCATGCGCACTAGCGCGGCGGAGCGAAGACCGAGCCTTTCTTTTCGTCCCCTCTCCGCGGCTGTCTCTGAGGCGTCGCCGCCATGCCGAAGCTGAGTAAAGAGGCGAAACAGCGGCTGCAGCACCTCTTCAAAGGTGGCCAGTTCGCCATCCGCTGGGGCTTCATCCCTGTCGTGCTCTATCTAGGTCAGTGGCGAAGGGGAGGTATCAGGCTGAAGTCGGCTGCCAGGACAGGCTTGGGTCTTCCCGCTTGGCTTGCCGGAACGGAGAGAGACGCTGGCCTTTGGGGTGCCGCTTAACGGCCGTTGTCCTCAGGGCTCTTGAGAGGCGCGTGGCCGGTCTTCTCCGGGGGCGCTGGCAGTTGTGACGCAACACTGCCGCGCGTGCCCGGGGGCGCCTTGGTGCCTCACGTGGCCGATTCCCTCGTCGCCGCGTGATAGCTGGAGCCCCCGGGGGGCACGAAAGCTCCGCGTTAGCAGCCCCCCCCCCCGCCTTCCAGTTCCCTGACCCTGGAGTTGCTGGTTTCGAGTTTAGCTTGCAAAAAAACAGTAGTAAGGGATGGGTTTCACCCTGTTTCGGAGTAGCCCGCCTGCTTCTTTTGAGCACGGCTTCGTCGGCTTTTGATGCAGGATGGGGCGGCTTCAGGAGTTCTCGCATCTCTTCGAGCCTCTTGTGGGGCGCTGCAAAATGTGCGTGCTCCTACGCAAGAAGGATTCCCTACAAGAGAAAATTCACTAGATCTTGGTGTGAGCTGAGCTTGAAACTATTTCCTTGGCATGAGTAGTAATTTGGTGCAGAAAGTGCCATCTCCTGCCTGAAATAGTGCAGATCCAATTCCCCGTTGCAAGTTACCACCAATTCATTTTGCTTTATCTGTAGATACGGTGTAATTTTTGGTTTAGAGTTCTTTAGGTTGAAAACATACTTCTCAAAGCCACAGTGGTGCTGAAATTGCAGTAAAACTTCGTGAATTTCTGCTGAAATAAGAGTTCACAGTTCCTCTGTTCAGTGTATAACTTCCTATACCACATTTCTGCCTTACAACTATTTTCTCTTGCATGTAGCAAGTTGTTTTTCCCGAGAAAAACAAATGGGGCTTCTGAGTGGGCTGATGGGCAAACATTATTAAAAATATACTTAAGGTCTGCTTTGGTGGGATTCTCACTATTGTATGTGAGGAAGGAAAAAGATAATAGCAAGCAAATTGTTAAGTATCAGTATCTGAAAAGGTGATAGTAATTTTAAGAAGTAGCATATCATCAGTTAATATTCTGTACATGAGAGGTTTAATCTGATACTTTAGAGAGGCATCTCCCATTTTTGTTGTGGTAGGAAAAACACGTCCTTTACTCCTGACCCCCAGCCGCCATCCTTAGATTTTGTATTTCTCTGCCTTTCTGTACTGTGTAGTACCAACTTACCACAAGGTGGGGAAGTTGTATAGCTGCAGTATAATGGTTTTGCTACTTTTCATGAGTCTCTTCTGATATTTTGCAATTTAATATTTAATACCAGGCTTTTCTCCCTCTAAAGGAGTGGAAAACATGGGACAGGTTCTGAGGATGATATCGTCATGAAAAGTCATGAGAAACTTCTGTGAATGAGGGATCAGGAGAGCACAATAAATGCCTCCTGTAGAGAATACCTTCTTGTACATATGCACAGGCTGTCAATGTGACTTGAGCTGGTACCCTTACCTGCTGCTGCCACATCACAGTCCTGAAAACCCTGCTAATCAAGTTGTTTTGCAGGCTGGGGAGAGTGCAATTTTCTTTCAGAGTGGTACAGCTTGTAATTTAAGGAACTGGGGCTGTATCCCATATATGTTTGCTCAGAAATGAATCTTCCTGAGTTTAGTGGGTCTTTCTCTGAGCTAATTACTGCTTTTTTCATGTAACTGCAAAAGTTCAAAAACATTTAAATAGTAAAAAAAGGAAACATAGTCTTGTAGTATAAGTATCTCAAAGGCTGTCACAAAGAGGAAGGTCATGATCTCTTCTTGGCTGATAGCAGAGTGTAGGACACAGAATAATCAATTCAAGCTGCAACAACCCAGATTCAGGCTAGATATCAGGAAAAGCTTTCTTGCTGTCAGAGCAATATGGCAGTGGATCCAGCTGCCTAGAGAGATGGTGGGCTCTTCCACACTAGAGGCATTCAGAAAGAAACTGGATAGCCATCTGAGTGGGATGGTACAAACTGGTGTCCTGCAATAGCAGGGGATTGAACCCAATGGCCTTCATGGCCACTTCCAACTGTACTATTCTATGATAAAAGGAAGAGAACAACTGCAAATAAATACATAAATAAATCACAGTCTGGCAGTACTAGGACCAATCCAACTTTACTTAAAAGTATTCAAGAATTCTACTTTTCCATAACTCTTCATCTGGCTAGATGGTACAAAAGGCAGGATGATAAGAAGCAGATTTTTCAAAGAAAAAGGCTAGATGTGGTGGCCATTGGGTTTATTGTTTAATTAGATCCAGTCTCAAAATGGAGATTGCAGACTGAGGCCCGATTTGCATGCAATGGCATCCCTGAATGTGCAATGTTACTGAATTGTGGTAGTCATTATCTGCAAACCCTGCTCTATGGTTCAACTATGGGTTGTTTAAAAGCCATAGTCTGCATTTGGTTGAGTTGTGAACTATGGGTTGTTTGTGGGTAAGAACTCATAGTTAAACCATAGTGCAAGGTTTGCACATAACAACAATCCAGAATTCAATCCATACTTTAGGTTACATATGATCTAGACCAGTGAATTAAAACAGTAGGTTTTAGATTACCTATGAGGTTACATCTAGCAATACATTTGGGGAGAATAGCAAGAATAAGTGATATGTATATTCTTATTTATTTATTTTTCAATTTATAACCTGCCCTTTCCCTGCAAAGGGCTCAAGGCAGCTTACATCTCCTCCATCTTATCCCTACAACAACAACCCTGTGAGGTAGGTCGGGCTGAGAGTCTGTGACTGGCCCAAAGTCACCCAGTTGGCTCCATGGCTGAGCAGGGACTAGAACCCAGATCATCTGAGTCCCAGTCCCATGCTCTTAACCACTACACCACACTGGCTCTCCACACTATTCTTCCATTTGGGTAACAGAGCATTTATTGGTGGTTCGGAAATCACCAGGTTTTTTGAAACTGGAGGATTCAGAATTTCAGAAAATTCTTTCTTGGAGTTTCCCAGGCCTTACTGAATTAATTTATCACACACTTTCTATTGCACTAATTTTTCACATGACTAATACAGAATATTTTTATTAATTGTAATCTATGCATGAATGACTTCTTTTGGGTTGAATTCTGTTCAAGTTATCAGTAGCTGTAGCTTTTCATACAAGTTTGTCAAAAATCTCCAGCAAATGTTAGGATACTATGATTCCATCCTTCAAAAGTGACATTAATAGGATCGTATTTCATTTGCAGGGATATAATTCTATTGATTTATGGGCTGGTGCTATAAGCTTTTTCTTAAGGACATCGATAAAGGAACAAACTGAGCTTGCTATTTAGAAAGCTCTGTTCTGCTTTTCTTCAGCAGCAGATATAGCTATGCTTATTAGTAAAAGCAGAACCTGTCTCACCCAGCGTGCCTGACTTGCATGTCACAGTAACCCAGGGCTTTTTTAAATCCTGGGTTGTTGTGAATTAAGTGAGAACAAGCAGATGGGCTGGTTCCCACTGTCTGAAAACTCTTGGCAAGCAGAAGGTGCTAAACAAGTCAGGATCACTGTGTTGTTGTTAGTTGCGAAGTTGTGTCCGACCCATCGCGACCCACTGTACCCCTAGGTTATTCAGCATTGTATGAGAACTTAGAACTTTGAGGTTGTTGGGAGAGGAACAACCCAGAGTTGGAGCTCAGGATTTGTCTTAGGGTTCTGACCTCTCCCCTAACAATCCAAAACCTCCTTTTCTCAGTCTATGCTAATCTCTCTAAGTTACAGCAAGTATAGTTGTATAGCAGGAGTCAGCACACTTGTTCATTCTAGTTTAGTTCACAGCAACCCAGGGTTTGTAAAAAAACTGTCAGTTTTTGTGACGTGCAAATCTGGCCAGTATAAGTTTGGTGGGCTAAAGATACCATGTCATAGAACAGGGACTATATAAAGATTTATCCCACTGTGTAAAGAGTTCCTGATATTAACACATTTATTATTATAACCAGGTTTTAAGAGAGGTGCAGATCCTGGAATGCCTGCGCCCACCCTTCTGAGGTATGTATTCAGTTTTTACTACCTCTGCAGAAATAATGCATGTTGAAGCAAACAGTGGAGACCATGCTTTAATGATTTGCTTGGAAGTAATTATTTGAAATTTAGCCCAAAGTCTAGTGTTTGCTTCCTTGAAAGTAAGTCCCTTTGAACTCAATTGAGCTAGGAAACCCTTGGTAGATATGCCTAGGGACATCAGAGGAATTTTGTTGAATTTTTCTGTATATGCTTCAGATAAGTTGCAGGCTAGGGTTTGATCTAACCACCACTACCACCTCCATCATCACCATCATCATTTCTATACTGCCCATAGCCAGAGCTCTCTGGGCAGTTTACAACAAAGTTAAAAAGGATAAAATACAATAGATAAAAACATTTACTAGAATAAAAAATATTTTATTTAGTTTAAGGGTTAGGGTTACATACCAAACAGAAGGCAATATTCTGTGTATAAGTTACTGACATTTCAAACATCAAGAGAAGTAATTTTGTTTGTATAAAACTATCTTATTATTGCTCACTTCAGTGTTCTTATAAACAGATCTGGTGACACTGAATGGCTTAAACATGGACAACTTACATAGCATAAAACTTTTTTAAAGGCAATTTATAAAGCAGTGCTTTGGACATAGAACACACACACAAGATGCAGACCATTTTGTTTCTTTTAATGTTATTTGATAGCATTGGTAAGACAGTAGCATCACAGAAAATAAAGGAGTTCAAATTTCAGCAGCTGAAATTATATGAAAATAGAAGCCTAGTAAGACTAAACTGAGAAACAGATAATCATTGGAGCTTCAGAGTGAAAACATAATGGTTCTTCCAGCTGTGGTCAAGTATGAAGTTTAATGACCTCAGGGGTTGCTAGAATCATGCTGCATTATTAATTAAAATCCTGGCAAGGCAAATTATGATCATATACATTACCAATGATGTATTAAAGCTGATAACCTGAGGTATATTTCTGCAAAAAAATAAAGACACATGTTGTTATAAACTTTTGGAAGTAATACAACAAACTTTTCATTCATTTTTGTTTGCATTTGTGGCTGTTCTGCATGGTGGCATTTTATTGTACAGGTATCCTTGAGATCAGACATTTCCTATTCAATTTTATTGCTGAATGTTAGACACCATGCCTGATGGCTCTGCTGAGACGTCATTGCTCTTTCAACTTATATAATTAAACTGTCATGTTATATCCCATTGTCTATTCCAAAAAACTGCAAGTGGTAAATGAATTCAGTTTTATGTTGTATGTTTGTGCATATATGACATTTTCTTATTAAAATGCATTTGTTCTTATGGAAGACTAACCTTTCTTTTAATATGAAATCTTAACCCAGCAGGCTAAGCATATTAAAGGTACAATCCTATGCATATTTAGACAGAAAAAAGTTGTACAACTTCCAGCATTCCCCAGTCAACCATGCAGGATTTAATTTCTTTCTAAACATGCTTAGGACTGTGCCTAGATTGCTTTCTAAGTGCATGACGACCAAGCTGGTTCTTAGAATAAAAAAATCAAACATTCTTTCTTAATTGGGTCGGATAATAACCTTAACCATAGTAACTGCTTTTCTTCTAACACTTTGCTTGTTCTATTTCTGTGGAATGGACTATGTAGAATCACATTCCATTTAAAAACATGGGCTGTGATTTCTCTAGCATGAACCAACATGCCTGAATGATATTTTGTATTCTTTAATACATTTGGCATTAAAAGTGGTGTAGTGTAGTATCACAATTTTGTAACACTTAACATATTTGGGGTGCAGTCCTATGGGAATGCCAGTAATTCTCCAAAGTCAGAGAATCCTATGGAAGGTGGGAGGAACTTTTCTCATTCTGCAAAGCATTAGCCAATTTCAGCCACCCTAAGTGCAGCACCTGTGAGCAGGAGGGAAGGAGGGTGAGTCACCACCAGGATGTAACGTATCTTGGGGACATTTGTTTCCTCCCCTCCTTACACCCTCGAATTCCCCCAAAAGCCCTTCTGCAAGATCATTCTTACAACCTCAGAGTGGTCAGCGTGTTCTTTCTGTACTGGCTGTGAAAGTGGAGGGGGAGCAAAGTACAGATACTCAGTTATGAAGTTGGAGCAATCTTCTCGCCTTTTAGTCCAGAATCCTGATCCATATCTGAGGGCTCTGTGTCATGAGGAGGGAGAGCGAGAGGGTGGAAAAGGAGAAGGAGAATCAGAGGGGATATGACTGCTAGCTATACTTTTAAAGTTATGTCTGTTTTGTCTTGGACTTGGCTCAGAATAGGACAACCTTGGCCTTTTATTTTGTTCAATATTAAAAGGATTAAACAGAAATCATAAGGGAAGCATTAAGATCCCTGACATAAAGTATGTTCATCAATATGCAGGGGGATTTCATTTATAGTGTGTATAATGGAATGTGAGGTCCCCATGAGATAGATAGATATAGCTAGTATATTTTTGAAGAACAGGAAAATTTGGCAATCTCAGAATTAAAGAATGTGACAGTGTACTCCACCCCTTTCCTTGAAATTAGAAAACAGATAAGAATGTTCTACAGTTAGGTCAGTGTTAATCACTTCTGATCTAGAAAAGTTCACTTAGGATTTATTTATTTATTAACAATATTTTTACCCTGTCCTTTATGAGACGTGCCAGGATGGTTTACAACAATAAATAAATCACAACAAAGTACAATACCGAACATGACAATGTTAAAACCTAATTAAAATAATTAGATATTAAAGTAATGAGCAAAAATAAATAAATAAATAAATGAGCAAAAAGAATATAACATCAGAGCCAGGCAAACTCTCTGGGGAGTGTTTTCCACAGTTGGGGTGCCACCGCAGAGAAGGCCCTCCTCTGGGTATTCACCCTCCTAACCTCCTTCAAGGAGGGTTCCCAGATATGATGCTGTTCCTATGCGATACCTGTTATGGACTGACAGTTAAATTCAAATCTTGACTCCAAATCCACATTCCTGTTATTGACTCGCTGGATAGCATTAACCAGCAGCTGCAGGTGCATATTGGTGCTGAGAATGAACTTTCTATTTTAGTCATTTTGTAATCATGCCCCACTTCTGTTTAGTAATATGATTCTATCTGTTTTATCTTTCTCTTCCATGACTAAGGACTAAAGCAAACATTACTTAGGTATACTTCCAACAGTGACATTCTCTCATTTTTACACAGGCACCAAATTGTGTCAAGAACCTAATGTAGGGGCTAGTAGTGATCTCCTCCATTGTGGGCTTGATCCAGTTCATGACCATTATGCCTAATCAAGAGCAAAAATAAAAAAGATAATAGCTGCGAGATACAGATTTAAAGCAATGTCTAGTTTGCCCCAAGTTGTTTTTGAATAAGTAAGGCTCCAATCCTCTAACATTTTGAACTCCTTTCGAGCTCGGATGTTATTCTGATTAACCATATATAGAATTGTGGTATAAGTGACTACATTGTTACATTGTAGTGTGTTCTTTTAAAAAAACTATATTACTGCTTCAGACATCATATGAGATGTGATCAATGTTATTCCTTTTTTCTCCCCTCCCTCTTCTCTCTTAGTCTGCTTTGGGGATAAAGGATTTAACCAGAGCATTCTGGAAGCAGCTGTTGAAGATGTATACATTCCAGATGCTAGAAAGGACACTTGTGCTATGCTACTGGCCAGCTCTTTTCTGAAAACACAGAACTTACACCATAATGGAATTGGGATTAATCTAATTTATGTTGTGATTCTTTTATCTGTTGGAATAAATATTTAATCTTAAATCCTTGAACTTAATGATGATTCTGTTTGCTCATGTAATGACATATGGTGCTTCTCATGCTGGTGTTTCAGGTCAGATGATTTATTTCAGCCTCACCTTTCTAATCATGAGAATCTTGGCTTTTGAGTCTTCATTTTAATCATGGATTGGACAAAGTCATGTTTGGTATAACACAGAAAAATAGTGCTATATGTCATAAGCTATAATGTCACTGCAATTGTTACTGAAAGATTTCTGAACTCATTCCAGAATCCTGGCAAAGGACATAGAAATTGTGAATCTTTGAAAAATGTGGAGTTACAGTAAATCTTGGAATATTGCATGTTGATGCATAATAGAGATACTACAAGAAAATGAATTTCAGGTTCCTTTCTGGACCTCAGTACAATGTACTCAATACAGTGTACTCCATCTGCTCCCAAAACTCTTGGAACCCACTGAATCTCGACAAATTCTAATATTCCTGGGAGTTAGAGACCGTTGCTGCTGAATTATAGATATCACAGAAGTTATTACACTTAATATGAGCCAAGCTTACTGCACATGCCTGCATTGGTTGTGGCACCTTGGTAGCTTGAATGAAAAATGACTTCCAGTTAAAAAAAAAAGTCTAGTTCCATGAAGGCAACTTACAAGTGACAAGGCACATGCCTACTGATAAACTTTCGTTAGTGTTTTGACATGCGGTAGCATGCAGTCATGCATCTTGTGCATGTGTTCTTTCTGAATATGCAAATCAGCCCATGCACATTCAGAGAAATTGGCCTGGCAATTCCTTTGTAATTAAGCTTTTAGTCACCATGTTAAAAGCAAACCTGATCACTGTTCAAATATTACTGGTTCAGCTGTAATAATCAGCCTCACAGTGAGCAGGTTTGCACAATATGGCAGACAACCAACCATAAAAAATCATTGCTTGTTGTGTTGGCCAATCCCAGCTGTAGTGCTTGGGTATTGTAAGAAACGATTGTTGGGTCTTGCCAGAATTGCATGTTGTGTGTCTGAACCTGGATAAAGAGCTGCTGCATGAGAGAGCTGCTTGGCAAGAGCAGCAGTTGCCACTCTTGTCAAGCAGCTAGCCAGAGAACACAGCTGACAGCAGCCCCAGATTGACACAGCTGTCAGAAGTGTCCTGGCTCTTCTTGCCTTGCCATACCAGAGATCTTTGGGGTGAGAGCAGGACTGCACAACTCTGCCCTGATGGTTGTCCCAGCACTCATGAGAAGAAACCTCACCTGTGAACAGGAGGGGAGATAATCAGCTGGGAGGTGCTGCCTGAGAAATAAGGGGAGTGAAAAGGGGCACGTGCCAGTCCTCCTTTCTCACTTCTGCTTGGGGGGAAAAGTGCTGTGGTGCATGCTAGCCTCCGCCACCTGGCACCCACTAGTGTGTCCTTCCAAGCAGGAGTAGAAGAGGGAGGGCTTTCCCTGTCCTGATGAAGAGAAAGCAACTCAAGAACAGGGAAGGTTGAACCTGTATGAGGCACAGATGCTTAGTTTCCAATACATTCTAGCCTAGCCCAGGCTCCTGCTTCCTGCTTTTCCCGGAGCAGCCTTCTGCCAGCAGAATCAAGGAAAGGGGGCCTGAGATAGGCAAGGATGCACCAAGAAAGGAGAGTCCTTTTCTAGCTGCGTTCTCCCTTTCCTGCTTCTGCTTCTGAGGAAGGCACTCAGGCTGGAGTGGGGAATCAGCTGCTCCTTTTGCACCTCTGCCCAGCTGATTGCCCCTCCTTTGTGCTGAGAATGGATAGTGCATGGTCCCTTGCTTAAGAGGTCTCTTCTGGAGCAGGAGACAAGTGCCTGTTTAGCTCTGCCATCCTTTCTGCTACACTTGAGGTTATAGAAAATCCACTGAACTAGGGGCCATTGGAAGCAAATTGCAGTGATGTTTCACTGTACTTCCTCCAGTGCTACTTTGTTTCACATTTAGTTGCATCAGTTGCACACATACCTCTATTGCCAGTCCTTTCAGGAATATTGTGTCATACAGAGAAGGAAGCTTCTTCTTTTTTGTGCTGTCAAATCATATCCTACTAAAGCTGTCCAAAATGTCCTATCCATGACATCCCTTCTTAGCTGTTCTAAATTCAGGCTGTGTTTTCCTTTATGGAGCCAATCCATCTTTTATTTGGTCTTTTTTTCTTCTGCCTTCAACTTTCCCTAGCATGATTATCTTCTCCAGGAAGTCTTGCCTTAATGGCATCCCCTCCCGCCACTTCAGTGCCCAGTGGCTCCTTGTGTCCTCAATGGGACAGATTCCTTTAGAACAGTACAGGGAATGTCTGGGGAGAACAGTTTAGGGTTTTATGAGAGACTTGTCAGGGAGGAGTGTCAGAGGTTATGAATGCCAAACATTCTCCATTATGCTGATGCATGATCCCAACAGTTCAAACCCCCACAAAAACTGGAGGTATGAATGTGATAAATGCAAGTACAGTTAAAATGTACTTCCAAGTCAGAAGCACAATCTTGTTGCTATGCCCTTACTGAATGTGGAGGTGGATAAACAGAAAACTGATAGCACCGAAGTATATCTGAAATTGTACAGCAACTTAACTAAGGGTAGGGGATCCTGGGGGTAATTAGTAAAAGGGTTGGTTGGCATTGGTCTGATTTGCACATGACAACCCAGAGTATGGCTTGTTATGGAACCATGGGTTCTCATTACATGCAATCTCTGCACTGTGGTTTAGCTACTAGTTATTAACCATGAACAACTCAGGAAGAGAACCCTAGAGATTGCAAGAATGGAGAGTTCGTAACCCTAATGTCCAGATAACCTTACCTAATGAACAAACAAACCATACTGCAGGATTTGCTTATAACAGCTCACAACAATGACAACCCATAGTCTGGGTTGGTGTTACATGGGATCCTGTTCTATGTCTGTTAAGAATTGTTAGCAAACTCTTTAATAATGGCTATCAGGTGCCATAGCTTGGGCTGTCAAGAGAGAAAACAGCAGCCAGGGACCTCTCCCTCAGTCTAGATAAGACCCAAATTTGAGTATCCCTCCAGGTGCTATAAGTAAAGTCACCAGACAGGGCTTGGAGTAACTCCACTACTGTTCAGCTCTGCAACCCCACCTGGCAAATATAAAGTACCCGAGAATGGAAAATATGCAGGATATACCCATGTTCCCTGGCCCACATGGTGCCTTCCAGCTGTTCCAGACTACAGCCCCCAGCACTCCTAACTATTTTTATTGGCTGATGGGAAGCAACTACATTCTGATCTAGTAAAATTGGTGGGCATTTAGGACAAATTTAATATGAAGAAAAGTAATGCAGTCCAAGCAAGAAATCTGCAAAATCAGTTCACAATTTTATTACTATTACATAGTCATTATATAAAAATATATTTTAAATATATTAGTAGAATAAGTTTAGACATATAAAATACATAAATATAAATATTGCATAATTTGGCTCTAAATCTTTGGAATTTACTGTTCTCAGACTTATGGTAACCTTAGGAATGAATGCTCTGCAAAATGCCCTGTTCTTGACAGTACTCTTGTAAACTTTGGGGAAAAAAGACATATTGATTATGCCTGTCAGCTCAGGTAGGGAGACTGTTGGGTTGAGGGGTAGACAGTACATCAGCATAGTGTCCAATCTGTGCCAGCACAAGATATAGAAACTCTTGGAGTCAAATGGACTGGGAGCCTGGAGAAAGACAGTGTTCCTATAAACTATGGCAAACCTCACTCACTGGCTCTCCAGTCTTCCCTGATGCTGTACCAAATACCCAGAGATACAGTCTGCAAATGGAGACTTTCCTTTTGTGGAAAGCAGGTCCTGAATTCAAGCTATTAAATATAATAGGTGAGGCATTGTTTCTCAAAGGAGAAGAGCAATGGCATCTGCATTGCAGATATGCTAAGAATTGCCTTAGAAATGTCTTAGGGAGCAAGTGGACTGTAATGGTAGGAATGTTGGACTGTGGATCTGGGAGCTCCAGATTCAAGTCCCCACTCAGTCATGGACCTCACTGGATGACTTTCAGCCAGTCACAGACTGTCAGCCTAACCTACCTCAAAGGGTTGTTGTGCAGATGAAATTGAAAGGAGGAGGATTATGGAAACTTCCTTGAAAGGCAAGAAGAGGTACATAAATACAATAAATAAATAAATAATCTCATGTGCCTGATTTCAAACATTTAGACACTAGAACAGGACTTTCATAAAAAGCGAATAGCCCTTGTAGCTTTTTCCATAAATGATGTAAAACCTTGAAGTATGAAATGCTTGATAACTATTATATTCCAGCCTCTCTGTTCTCGTAGCTTTGTAGACAAGTTTTTCTGAGTGTCTGCATTCAACATGGTCACATTCTCAGGATTCTTCATCTGATAAAAGAAGTGAGTGAGGAGTGGTTAAAACTGCATTGGTTATAGTTCTCTTGGCTGGAAGAGTGTTTTGTGTATCCATGGATAGTACTCATCTACAGGTAAGGTGATGCTAGATGGTAACATTTTTAGATTATCAGACCTTTGTAACCTGCATTGCTAAAAATTTTATCTGAATTACACACTACCTTATCCTGTAGGCTCTGTGTGGTTTACAATCTACTTTTAAAACCCCGTATTTGGTATGTGCAGCCTGACACTGATGGTTTGTTTCCCAAAGTAGATTTTAACTGTTGGGTGCCTTTTATGCCTTAATTCCACTCATGAGTTTGTAACTGATCTGTTTTTATGTCTTAATTACAATGTTGTATTTTATCTTGCATGTTGCTGTTAGTTGCCTTGAGCACTATGTATAGTGGAAAAGCAAGATTCATTTCATAAATAACTAGTTTTTATTTATCAGAAGATTAGGCATGAACTTACCATTGATTTCAAGGTATTTGCCAGGTGCAGAGATCTTAGCCATAAAGTTGTAGTGCCTTCTGCATTACTACGAGAAGTTTCTTCTATATATTCTAAGAATGGTTGAAATGAATAAAGGCCTGTAGCAAGACTCTGCAGACATTTCTCCTAAAGTAGAAAGAATTAAAAAAAAGAAAAGCTTATTTTTCTTAAAGTTTTGAGAAAAATGGTAGCCACATTATATTCATTAATATCTTCTGTGCATTGAAAGCATAATTATGTATAAGCAGCTTAAAGACTCTGAAATTAACAAAATATTACTAATATCTTGGGTAATATATAGTTGACCCTGGCAATATCCAAGTCTGCCTGCTTGTCACTGGGACCAACCACTAGCACAAATAGGGGATGAATGGCTCTAAATGCCACTGAACTGACAGGAGCTGTTTACTTCTAGAATGGGGTTGGTCAACAGAGCTTACAGAAGGTCTAGAAATAAGTACAGTTTATTTCTATGGAACCACAATCTTTCTGTTGCACAAGTGGTTGGTCCTGCTTGTGTAACAGATGTAGCAGAAGTGCAGTAGTAGTATTGGAAACTGCCCTATGGTTGCAATCTTGTGATCTCTAGAAGGGTTTTCTCAAAGTCCATACAAAAATTTAGAGGCTGGAGGGAGAGGTTCACCCTTGTAAGTGTCTTCCCAGGCTTTGTGAAAACCTCTGGAGTGCTTGCCCCTCCAATGTCTACCATGAGAAGAGGATTATGGGCAAATCAGGATCCACATCTCTCCCAGTTTCCAGACATGTCCATGACATGGCTGAGGAATGTCTATCAGCCATGGAGCTGATGTACATAATTTCTCTTCCACTGCTTGCAGTGAAAGGGAAATAGTCTGAAGGTCTGTCCACCTTCAGCTGACTGAGGATTGCTCTGACCATATACAAAACACTATCCTTTTACAATGAGATTGTAATCAGACACTATTTGCAATGTATTTCTCATGTATTAATATTCCCTTCTTACTTTTTGGAATCCAAGGTGGTGGCATCCATCTTCTTTAGAAAGGTTTGGAAGGTTGAGATTGTTGCCCAGCATTTCCATACTGCCTTTGCATGCGTTCTGTTCCTTACACAGCTAGTAAAACACCAAAGAAGGATTTAATTGATCTCTTGTTATATGAGTTCTTCAATGTCTTACTGAACCATCAGTATAGATTACATGAGCTTTTGAGATCACTGTTTTCCTATTGCTATTAACAACAGAAAAAGCAATGCTTTTGATGGAGATCATTACATGATGGAAAAGGCAAAAGGCATTCATAACCCCAGAACCACACTGCTGAGACTGTCTACTGTTTATTTATATTTATTTATTCATTCTTGCATTTGTATGCTGCCTCATAGCCAAAGGCTCTCTGGGTGGCTCACAGTGCTCGCTCTCTATATATGTACATATGTATACATATGTATATCAAATACATATAAAAATAAATAAAAATAACAAACAAAACCTTAAACATAGTAAAATTGAAATGCAATATAATTTTAGTAGCAGTGCAGAAACATGAGCCACTGTGTCCATTGGTGGATGATGAGAAAGCGTTGCAAATCTCCCCTCCTCTCATCCTAGCAATCTCAGGAGGCAGGGAAGGGAAATTTAAACTTCCCCATCCATTTGCATTGATTTGTCTGTGGGAGAAAGGGTGTATGTGCACATGTGTGCACACATACCATGCCCTCCCCCACCCCAGGTGACCCAGTTCTAGCTTTTAAGGCTGAAAAAGTTACACACACATGCCCTACAACACATGTGACTTGTAGGCTGAAGTCTTGTCAACCTGAAGTCTAAATGCAGCTTTTGGCAGCCTCTGGATGGGAAGGGCTTAAAACAGAAGGTGTTGGACCAATTTACAACACTCACCTATCAGTATATTGGTAAAGCTTTTACTCCCAGTCCAAGATATGTTGCTGCCTGAGGCCAATAACAAAATGGCACCCACTCTCAATCTATGTAGACCCCCCCCCCCCCAGCGTGGCAGATGAATCTGCCTTCAGTGCTCATGGGGGAGGCAGCATCCTTCACTGCATCTAAAGGTAGTGGGCTGAACTAGCAGGGTGCTTGGGACACCCATCTCTTCTTCAGCCCCAACTCTCTATTCCTGTCTAATAACAAGGCCAGCCCTGCTGTCCTACAGGCTGGGGGCATTTCAATATTTTACACTGAGGAAGAAACTTGGAAAACTGCAAAATAAGCAGTGTTTGAGTCAGATTTGGCCCTGAGGTTCCCCATCCTATGATTGCTCTATACCTACATTATTTCTGTCTGCTTATGCAAGAAGAGCAATAGCAGTGCTGTCTCTGATTTAAGCTCCACATGAAATGTATAAGAGAGAAGAAAGTATTTGGAGTGCAGGTATGCAACCTTAATGATTCTCTGCAAACACTCTCCTATATATCCTTATATTTTTGAATTTCTCTGCCAAAAGTTTTCAAGATACAGGCTCTCAACCTGCCACCCTCCAAAAAAGTGACAATTTTTTCAAATCTGAAAGTCATTTTTGGATATATCTTGTTTTAATGTTTTACCCATCATGGGTATTCTTATGCACTGAAAATCCTGTGCTTCTTGCAACAGAATTAGGTATTCCACCTGTCTTCCTCAAACAGGGAATCTTTCAGTATGCAGTCAGGAACCCTCATCATATCTGGAATGCTCTCCCCAAGGAGAGTGACCTGGCACCTTCTCTACATTCTTTTCGGTGCCAGGTGAAGACCTTCCTCTTAAAAAAAAAACCATTTTATTATTATATTTATATAATATTAAAATATATTTAATATTAATGCCATTTGAACTGGCATTATTTTGCATTTCTGCCTGTATTTTATGGATAATCCATTTTTAATATGATGTAATCGGTTTTTATTGTCTTTTTAAATGTCATGCCTGGAGATGCTGTGGCACAATTGAGCGGCATACAAATGTTTTAAATAAATAATAAACCATGTTGCAAGATCCAAGGCCCTGGAAACAGTCCTGGGACTTTCCACGGGGAGAGGGGAACCGTCCCAGGAAAGCTTCTCCAGGAAAAAGAGCCGGAATCTCACCGCGAGAAGGAAAGCGCGCGGCACGCGCCAGCACCCTCCGCCCCGCCTTCCCGCCGTCGCGCGCTTGCGCATCGCCGCCGCCGCTTACCTCGTCGTTCCAATCGGCTGCAGCTCTTTGGAGCGACTGAGCCAGCTGCGCGAAGGTGTGCAGCTGCAGGCGTCCGGACGGCAGCGTCCTGGGAGAGGAATCCTCGCTTGCTGCTTCTTCCCCGGAGGAATCCCCGACGGGAAAAGCGCGCGAGCCGAGGAACAGCGGGAGAGCTGCGGCAGCCCAGAAACAGCCTGAGAAAAGAGGAAACAGGCAAGTTGAGTCGGAGAAAGTTCTGCCCTCTCGAGCTGCCCTTGGCTGCTCGGCCGACTTCGAGACGCTCCGCTGCGCCCGGAGAGGCCGTAAACTCACATTTCAAGAGAACAGCCATGCTCTCGCTTGAGACTTATTCTCTCCTCGAGAAGATGGGTAGCTTGTGGGGCTGAAGGGCCGAATGAGTTGTAGGGCATTTCGAACCCTATTTATTGTAAAAAACTTGCCAACTGGAATTTCCCACGTGATGCAATCTGTGACTTGTGGTTTTTTACTGATAATTCTTAATATTAATACCAATATTAATTTCAGTATTATTGCATGTATATCCCATCTTCTTTTTTCTTACAAGGAACCCAAGGCAGTTTACTCCATTTTATCCTCACAACTACCCTGTGAGCTAGGTTAGGCTGAGTGACCCAAAGTCACCAAGGGGAGCTTCATGGATCAGTAAGGACTGGAACCCAGATTTTCCAGGCCTGGGTTCAACACTGACCACCACACTCACTCTCCAGCACATGCACTCCATGTTGCCAAAGTTCTTACTCCAAAGAGGTTCATTACTATGGATAGCTCATACTGTGCTGCAAAGAAATGCTGGAATGGATGAGAAGTCCCACTGACATGGGAGTCACCAGTCTTCCTGTGTCTCCAACAGAATTGTATCATGGGAAGCAATCTGCATATGAGCAGGACATTTTTTATTATTCATTATGGCATGCTAATGATTGATACTTTTTATTGTCTTGTATAACTTTTGACAGAAAATGCTGGGAAAATCTGCCAAGTCCGGCTCAGCTGCAAATCCCACTGAGTTGGCCTTGAGCCATGAAGCTTCTTGAGAACCCTGCTCACATTACTCGTCCTGGGAATGCGTTACCTCTTCTCACTCACACTTCATATTTATTTAAAGTTTGAGTCAGGCTAAAGAAAATTGAAGACACATGACTCACTTCTTTTATTCCGGAACATGGCTATCTGGTGAGTAGCCGGCACTGTCTTCCTCAGTCTGTAGTTAATCTTATGGGTGTATCTTATGGCCTCTTGACGTTGTCTGGAGGACCATAACTGGCTGTCCAGCTGACGTTTCCATGTCTCACTGCTGTGCTTATGTGCAAGCGCTGCCTGTAAGTGCATTGGATTGCTTCCCTAATGGCATTTAAGGATATTTAATCGCATGATGGGACTTTTATGTCGGCTATTTTTAACAGATTTATAAAATTGTAAAAGTATTTTGTTTTTCTATTGTCATGGATGTTTTAATGCTATTTGTATTGTGGTTGTGCAGTGTGTTTTTTGAATAGCTGTGAACTGCCCAGAGAGCTTTGGCTACTGGTTGTGTAGAAATGAAGTAACTAAGCCGTATTAAGCCTTCCATTGATATGAAATAGATAGGTAAGAAAGTGAAATGCCATCAGAGATATGAAATGTCTTGTGAATTTCTTAATAAAGTTTAAGTGGGAAGAGGGGGAGATCTGTGGCTCTGCAGGGATTGTAGGGTTCCGACTCCCAGCAGCTTCAGCCATTATGGCCAATGATCAGTATGGGGAGGACAACAGGGCCCCTGCCACTGCTTTGATACCCCCTTTATTTCTGTGGACTGGAGTCCTGGGGCCCCTGAAGAGTGACCCAGGAACACTAGGCTCTTTGGTGTACCACTCACCAACACTGTAGATGTTTCTATGACTTTGGCAGGAAGTCTCTAGGAACTGATCTTTTTCCCTGCCTCTCTTCTGTCCCCCTGCAACCACTGTGAAAGAATCCATCTGGGAGAGGTCACCGAGAGAGCTTGGTCATCTGCATTGGGCTGTCAGTCTGCATGCATCCTGCAGGTATTATTTGTTGGCTTTAGGGTTGACAATATGGAGCGAATGAATAGAGGGAGGAAAGCATGATGCAGGGATGCAGTAGTAGACATTAGGAGTGTGTATGAAAACTTATTTAGGGGCAAAGCACCATAACCTGAAATCCCTTTGAGCAGTGGAAGTGCTTTCCTTCTCTGTAATGGTGCACCATTGTCGTTGCCTTTTCGTTTGCCTCCTGCTTTTTATTCTGGGGTATCTGTTGTAGACATCACACCTGCATGGCTTCTAAGCATTCATTCAAAAATATTGTGCTACTTTAAATTTGCTGCCATTTATTGATTTATTATTTATTTTCGATACCATCATTCATGGGAAATTTAATAACGGTTTATAATTATTTTTAAAATCAATTAATGCAACAATAAAACATTAAAAACTCCTCAGTGCTTTTATGATTATTCTGTATAAACTCCAGTCTTGTAATTTTAAAGTGTATTAGAATACAATTCCTCCCCAAGGGGTGCTGTTGTAGAATACAGTGTCTCCAAGCTTGAGCTTTATTTGGCTACTACTTGTCAGGATTTTCTAGAGTGTTGAGTCAGGCCTCCCCATGCCAATTCTGTCTTCTGATATTTCCCTGTAGGAAGTAAAATGAAAGCTAGCGATAGTGGTCTGCCTAAACATATGCTGATTTATTGTGATGAAGCTCAGTGTTTTTTTTTTTTTAAAGTTCCCCAGCGGATGAATGAGTTTAATGAGTGATATTTTACCAAATGATATAAAAGATACGAAAGTGCAATGATGAAAGAGAACAGCCTATGGTTACTTACTCAGGATTTCCTTAGTGGTAAGAATTTTTAGAAAGTTTAGTTTCGTTTGGAAGTAGAGTAACTCAGTGTTTTGTAATATCTGAATTTCATGCTGAGTGCTGCAAGAATCTTGTCATTGGCCTGATACGCTTCAATATTTTTATCAATGATTTATACAAATGAGTGGAGCTAGTCCTGATCAGACTTGTAAATGTCCTCCTCCGTGGCAGGTCTTCCCGGGCGGTGGGGCTGAGCAGTCCGTCTCTCCATGCGGCCAGCGGGTTAAAGCCTGCGGCTCCTCCTCCTCCGCACTGCTCCCCCTGAGCGGCACAGCTCTCACCTGCGCCGGGGGGGGGGTGGAGCAGCGCGTGCCAAGCGCCGGCCAGGTGATGCCACGTGGTACAGGCAGGCCGGCAGCGTCCTGGGCATTGGGCGCACACACATTCGCTCTATAAGATGCACAGACATTTCCCCTTACTTTTGAGGGGGAAAAAGTGTGTCTTATAGAGCGAAAAATACGGTAAATTTAACAGAGACAAATCCGTAGATCTTCAATGGAGAGGGAGAATTGAATGCACAGTTACAGGATGAGGGATACCTGGTTAAGTAATAGTACTTGTGAAAAAGATTTCAAATTTTCAGTCGATCGTAAGCTGAGGATGAATGATGCACCATCAGAAAAGGCGAATGCAATTTTAGGCTGCATTAAAAAAATGATAGTTTGAAAACTAGGAGAGGTAACAGTCCCAGTTTCTGTGGCACTTGTCACATTATTTATCTATTTATTATGTTGCCAAGTAGTCAAGGGGCTCTCTAGGCGGTGTACAATAATCAAGAGACCAAAATACAATTTTAAAATTACAAAATACTAAAATCAACAATATTACTAAAATCTATTGATTAAAATATAAATAACAATAATAATAATTTAAGAATGTTCATAATAAACAATGTCCGGGTGAGAGGATAACCATTAATAATCTGTTAAAACCCTTAATAAAATCATCTTTAATTGTTAAAATGGGTGCAGAGGATAAATGTTTTTGCCTGGCATTGAAATGAAAGCAGAGACAGTGCCAGGCAGGCTTCTCTGTGAAGTCCATAGGTGGGGGGCAGTCACTGAGAGGGCCCTCAACTGAAGTATTGTATCAATTTTATGACTTCAAGAATTATGTAGACAGAGTAGAATGGGCTCAGAAGAAGACACTGAAGATGGATACAGGGATGGAAAGAATGAGATTGGATACCCATGAGTGCTCCATCTGACAATCATATTTCTCTTACCTGAGCAGATGAATTTTTGACTCACCTGATCCAATGACAAAACAGGTTATTAACTACAAACAGCCCATACTTCAGAAGCCAGCAGCAAACCATGGTTTCTCTTCCTGGGTTTGTGGCTGAGTGGTTAACTCTGAGTTTTACTGGTCTAGAATGCTGCTTCTTCCACAGTAAGGAAGGCCAGTCAATGTATCTAGCACTTAAAATGTCTGAGCAGAAGATCTAGCATAAATTCGTATGGTGCAGAAATTTGAGTGCGGCCTAAAAGAGACTATCTGTGGCTTACACAGGAAAAAACTGGCATTATTGCCCATTATCTTGGCACTGCAGTGTTTCATGGTAAAATGGGGCTTCCATCAGTTTGTTAGAGCAAATAAGCCTATTTTCTTTTAAGTGATAATTTTGCTAACTAGGACAGAAGAACAAAAAACAAGGGTGGTTGGACTTCTAATTTTGAAAAACTTGTGGATTTCTCTATGCCATTGGCTTCCTTTCATCCTAGAGTGCCTGTTAAAATTAGATATGAGTTATATTCAGAGATGTCAATAAAGATGTTGAAAACATCCAATAGGATTTAACAAGTTGTTCCTTTACAAGGGTGGGATATCTTTTTCTATTTATCTTAAATATTGATTCACTTGTATCTAAGGAAGATATTTACAGAATGGGAGATTAATATTGTTCTAAGAAAAACATGTAGCATTCTCCTAAGATTGCCTGTGTACCAGAGACTGAAGAGTGGCCAATGTAACACCATTAAAATGATCGAAAGGAAATTCAGGAAATTGTAATCCAGTTAGCTTAACATTTGTTTTGTTTAAACTGGTGGAAAGTATTATTAAAGAGAAGCACACAGAAGGGCAAGTTTTTTATTTTGAAGAAAAATCAGCTTAACGTTTGCAAAAGTAGAGTTTGTTGGCAGTGGCAACAAGTGTGGAGAAAAGACATCAGATACAGTATATAAATGTGTGAGAGCATATAGATGACTATGTGAGAGCATCAGTGAGTGTCTGTGTCCATATATGCCTATATGTGACTGTGTATGCATTTGTGCGTGCATGCATGCATACATATGTGAATTCCCTGACACCCCACCATCCATCCAGTATGGCTTTTTGGGCAGAAAAGATTGAACAGTGGAAAAGGCTTTTGACATAGTCCCTCACCAATGTAGAATAAAGGAGAGATTCTCTTATAGACCAGTAATTGGTTAAACTCTAAGCAGGGAGTGGGAATAAATGGTCAGTTCTAACAATGGAGGGATATAAACAGTGGAGTTCCACAAGGATATGTATTGTCACTACTTCTCGTAAGCGATCTGGTGACAGAGTTGAGCAGTGAGGTGGCCAAGTTTTCTGAAAACACAATAGTGACTAAATCAGAAAGGGATACTGACAAACTCAGAAAATGTATCTTCAGTGAATGGGAATGGGAATTAAAATTGCAAGTGCAATTTAATGGAAGCAATTGTAAAGTGATGCACAGCAGCATAAAAAATCCAAACTGGTATGTGTTGAAGAAAGGTTTCTTGCAATAGTAGATGGCTTGAGGAAAACTTTGACCCTGTATGCAGCTATTATGCATAAGGCAAATCCTGTGTTGGTAACAGCACCTCAGGAAGGATACTTTATTGCTGGAAAAGATGGAGAAGAGAGAAGCCAAAATAATCAAGGGGTTGGAGGAACCCCCCATATGTCAGATAGGGGTTCTGGGTGGTGGTGGCGGCATAGGGTGGTTTAGAGAGCAGGTGAATAGGGGGCACAATGCAGGTATGTAAAACTAGGTAGGGTGTGGAGAAAGTGAATAGTGAGATTTTCTCCCTCTCATAATGCTAGAACCTGGTGTCATCCAATGAAGCTGATGATTCAGGATAGATAAAAGGAGTACTTCACACAATGTATAGTTAAATTGTGAAATTTACTACAAGATGATATAGTGATGGTCACCAATTTGGATGGCTTTAAAAGGGCAAAGATAAGGTTATTAGTTGATATTTAACATGAAGGCTATACATGTCTAGCTGGACTAGAGAGACCTTTGATCTGATTCAGCAGGGGTTTTCTCATGTTCTTATCAGCCTCAGTGTCCATCACCTGTAATGCAAGAGCTTTGAATGGCTGTCTTTCACTAGGTGTATGCACAATTCTGCTGCCCAGTTTTAAATTTTGTGTTATAAGAATCCCTGATCTTGTGGTGTCCCACCATTTTGTATCTGGCTTCAGCATCATCCTGGGCACAGTTTTTCTCTTCACTGTAATTGGTGGACCTCATTGCTCTATTAAAAAATGAACTGGCTACCCAAACTTGAAGTCTGCCCACCTTGGTCTGGAGAAATAGAAATCTACTCTCAAGATGTCATAATTTTCATCCTGAAGTTGCTTTTTCCCTTGGCATCCAAATATTTAACAGTTTTCACCTTACTCTTTTGCTAGAAAATAGTCCCACTCTAGCGACATGTGTATATGATTGCAGTCTAAAACAACTTAAAAGTTTGCTGAGGTAAAAGCAGAAAAGGCCCCACCTCTGGTACCCATCCCTGTAATTTAGTGCCGGGAGACCCAAAGCCAGGTTCTTGCAAGATGAATGACATTTTAGGGTAGGATCAAACAGAGAAAGGTGGTTCTTGAAGTATACATATGAAAGAAGAGTATCTAGAAATGCTGGCCTTCTGCAGCCTAGCCAGAGCTTTCGCTCTGAACTCCTGGAACCAATAGTGCCCACTTGAGGGACTTTTTCTTAGAACCCTGTCTGATTTGTATAAAATGGGGGGTGGGGGACCCGGGACCAGCAGCTAACCTGACTGCTGAGCTGAAATGTGTTTTGATCCATCTTCTCTATCCCATCTGGTTCCATATTCAGTGAATGCCATTGCATAATGTTTTTCCCCAAAAGATGCAATCATGAATTTATCATAGAACTAGGGGTGGGGGAGAATTC